TTATAGTACAGATTATTATTACTGTAAGAGATAAACTGATATATTACTACAGTAAAATGAAATAATCTTTTACAGAGTACTATACTATAGCAGCTCTACTAGATCTCTTCTATTGAGTTAATATCTATATTTCTCAAGATTGAACAGAGAAGAAATGAGACTTATATATTAAATTAGTCTGAGATTACTACAATATCAACTATCAGAGATTTGAATGAGCAGATATTTAAGATGTGAAGATAATGAAATACAATTCTCTAGTAAGTAATGATTTTTGATAATACTTTATATTATATAGAACTATAATACTAACTTTGAAACAGAACTTACATACATTGATTATAACTGAAAATCAGATAAAACTATATACTTATAAAACTGAATTTAACTGCTATCTTCAAGATAATCTGATAAATTTATACATTAAATCAATTCTAGAGTTATGAAAAATTATTAAAAGTATATATTCAACTGTTACACTGATAATATATAATTAGACTGGCCGCCGGGATCATGAATTTCACATTTGATCTCATTTGATCTGATCTCATACATTTCTTGGCGTGAATCCTGCTGAGACTGGCTATCAAAAAAACATGTAAAGTGACTATATATCAGATCTTAAAATGAAACCATGACTTGAAAAAAATGAGAAAGTGATCTCATTTGATCTCATTTAGTCTCATTCTTGACATAAAGTTACTATTTTTAGACATTTTAAGGTTTTTTTTAGACTATTTTTAATTTTTTAAAAAGTAACGCTTTTTGGTAACACTCAAATGAGATTTAAAGTCATTTAAAGCAATAAAAATAATTTAAATTGAGAAGTGGAAATCATGGTCTCATTTGGAAAATGTGATAAGAGTAGATAGTAAGTTTCACTGAAACAGTATAAGACTACTATCTAATGCTAAAACCGTGTAATGAGATCAGTTAAATTGGTAATGAGACTATTAAAAAATCTGATTCTGATCTCAGACACAGTCACACAATCAGTCTATATATAATATTCTGATAATTTCATTGACAGAGATAAGAATAAAGTGAAAGTTTAACTCAAGTTAAAATATTTATCACTATCACTGAGAATAATTATAAGAAGAAATAATCAAGAAACTCATAATTATAAAACATGAAATTATTAGACAGTTTAATATCTCAGATCACAGTATATCAGAGAAGTGTAGTTTTCATAAGAAAGTGAAGAATAAACTTATACAAGAATGTATTTAGTTATTTCATAAGTATTATCAATAATCATTATCAAATTCTGATTATATAAGCAATCACTGAATAAACTGAATAAGACTGATTTTAATCTTCAGTCTCAGTCTCATTCTGATTTTAAAAGAATAATTATCTTTCACAGTTTATTCTGAAAAATTACTCTCATTTCACTATTCTTGAATTAAATCTAGTCATTTTTCATGTTATTTCTCTCAGAAATAATTCATTTTCAGATTTTTTTAAGACTTGATTCTGATGAAACTCATATCAAGAAATATATGAGATCAGATCAAATGAAACTAAATGTAAAATTCATAATCTTAGTAGCTAGTTTATAAACATCTAAATAATTGCCTCTGAGCACTTATTCTTATATAACTGTAAAGTTTAATTCTAGTCTCAGACATGATTACACATAGACTGATCACTGAGACTATAAATTTCATATTTAATCTCATTTGATCTGATCTCATACATTTCTTGGCATGAATCCTGCTGAAACTGGCTATTAAAAAAACATATAAAGTGACTATATATCAGATCTTAAAATGAAATTATGACTTGAAAAAAATAAGAAAGTAATCTTATTTAATCTCATTTAGTCTCATTCTTAGTATAAAGTTACTATTTTTAGACATTTTAAGGTTTTTTTTAGACTATTTTTAATTTTTTAAAAAGTAATGCTTTTTAGTAACACTCAAATGAGATTTAAAGTCATTTAAAGCAATAAAAATAATTTAAATTGAGAAGTGAAAATCATGATCTTATTTGAAAAATGTGACAAGAGTAGACAGTAAGTCTCACTGAGACAGTATGAGACTACTATCTAATGTTAAAACTGTGTAATGAGATCAGTTGAATTGATAATAAGACTATCAAAAAATCTAATTCTGATCTCAGATACGGTCACACAGTCAGTCTAGTTACACGGTCAGTCTAAGTATATAACTGTTATTATATTTGATTGTAAACAAGCAAAATAATAAGAAGATGATTAACTCACTTATATGTCTCACTTATAGATGCTAAGAAACTTCTACTTGTATAAGAAGAGAGAGAAGAGAAAAAGTGAGACCTGCACATTCTTTTTATTAACTGTCAAACAAATCAACATAAAAAACAACAATGACAATAAAAATTTATATTTCATTAAAACAGAAAGATGAATACAAAAACAGGTGGACTGAAGAAGAGGGGAAAAAATATGGCAGAGGATGCGTGGGGGTTGATGTTCAAGGTATCATATCATATTCATGATCCCCATCTCAAAACTGAGATATCCACTACTAGGTCACGTGTTACGAAGTGGGTATTAATTCAGTTGGATTCTTTCGGCTGCCACAAGGCCCGGTGTGACAATAGTAGAGCAAGGCCCATGTATAAGTCACCTCCTTGCAATTGTCGTGGCCGAAGAGAGAGGAGTTTTCAATGTGAGAAGGTGGAATTTAAGGGTACGGTAGTAGTAGGAACCGAGGATCGGTGACTTTAATCATCATTATTATAAAGCCAATTCCAAAGCCACCCACCAAAGTTGTTGGGTTCTGGGTGATCATGCCCGGGGCGTGAACGGAGCCTCTCAGTTTCGTGGGACAGTGCATTGGCACCGTCGCGATTCGTAGAGGAACGCGGGGACCGTGACCTATTGCCATTCCCCGAACTTGATCGACGAGGCGGACTGTCTGAAATAATAAACGGGTCCGCCATGCTTCCTATACCATGAGGGGCGGAGGCAGATCGAGGCGGGGGCGTTTGGTCGGACGCTGGGCCGGGCCCTGAGTCCCGATGCTGTTCCCCGTTCGGCGTTGGAGGTGCGCGACGCCCAATCCTGGCTCTACAATGAGGGCAAGTATTATGGTCGTCCAGCCAAGGGGATATGCATGTAGCGTGGAACCAGTGTTTGCATGGCAGCACCGTGACTCTAGAATCTAGATCGACAGTTTCCATGCAGATGCCGCAGGTTTCCGTGCCGTCGAAACGATCAAGGGCCCCGTCCGTTTCTTGTAACGTTTCTTTTAATGTCTGGGTTTTGAGGAGTGCGAGCTGTTCGGGGGTTACCGGTTGGTCTGCATTCTCATCTAGGGTTCCACCGCCGGCGGCAATGTTTTGAAGTAGTGACAGCATCAACGATTGTATCGCTGTTACTTCCCTGTCCGCCCCATCGTCCAACCGGTTTCCATGTTGGTGTCCAGCGAATTGTCCGAGGACTCTAGTTAACAGCCAACTTGGTTAGTTTATAAACCCTGGACGGTTATTGCTGGGTGGAGATGTTGGGGAACTGACTCTTGTAAATGAGCAAAAGGATCCGTATCCTCTCGGGCGTTGTATGCATTTCGCGGTGTCAGACGCCAACTGACTCTTAGCATGTTTCCGTCTCCGTTGATATTTAAGCCTAGATCATCATGGCCATGACGGGTATGCGGTTCATGGAGGTCAGGCATAGCAAATGGCGAACGCAGGCCAGGGGGACCGGGTGTCCGTGCGACCCGGGCATGGCGGTTTTCTGTAAGGGCGTGCAGTAGAGCCGTGGTGTTGCGAAGAAGCGCGAAGGGGTCGTTGTGGATATCATGTTGGGGTCGTTCGTGAGGGGAAGAACCCCTGGGCGGCCGGAAAGAAGTACTTGCGAAGGAAAATCTCCCATCGCCCGAGCGAAAGCTCCGAAACGTTGTACCACCGCCTGGGATCTCGAGGTGTTCAGTTCGGATGTCTGGTCGCCAACCATGGTCATCTATGGAAGGGAAGGGCGATGTTGAGCGGGAATGGTAGCGGCCAGGAGGGTTGTCTACCCGCGGAAGTTGGAGATCTGGTGGAGGGTTATCGGTTTCCACCTAGCAGAGATAGCTAGTTAGCAGTTTCTATCGACTGATAGGCGTGCTGTAAGGGAATAGACGAAGCTGCATCAGAAGCGTGCTTACGATTTCGACAAAGTCGGACTCGCAGATAGGACACTGTAATGGGCTCTCTGCTTCCCTTGCCCATACACTCTGGCACTGGTAACAGTACAACCTCTCTGGCCTCGGTTCGTCAGCCATGGCTGAGTGGAAGGGACAGAAGTTATCTGCCGGAAAATATCACGTATTGATCGATCAACTCTTCTGTCAAAAGATAAGACGAAGAGGGATTGAAAATAGCATTTACGGCGAGAAGTCGGGTAAAGGGAGTGGCGCAGGCCCCAAGTTTATTGGGCTGCTGGTCGTATATGGCAAAAGGAGTATTTCACTTGCACTTTCGGAGAGAGCGTGATGTAGAAAGCCAGTTATGCGCGGAGTGCGATATAGATACAACCAACGAAGATAGCAAGGAGTTGGCGTGGGTTAGCTGGAACGAAAAGATTATTACTACGTTTGTTGGCTTTGTTGGCCGAACGAGAAGGTGAACGGCCACCTCACCTGAGGAGTAGCCAACTGGATGGAAATCAAAGGCGTAGTCGTAGAATTTGGGTGAATCAGATAGACAAAATGGAACCTGGCGGATTTGAAGGTCTGACAATGGTGGTTGACACGACCAGGCGAAGTGCAGCTGGGTGCCGTGGTGAAGCTGCGAGTTGTTCGTTCTTTGAGTGGTTGAACGTCGGATTTTGGCGATGACGTTGTTTTGCTTAGTGATCATTAACTTTAATCTGTGGCGGGGGGGAGCCTCGGACTTGTATCCAGCTGCTTTTTTGGCAAACCTCCCCTGGCTACCCCATCTATATACCCAGGTATCTTCTCCCTTGTTGCCATAACTGCTACCAACATAGGATCAGTTTGCTCTATATCTACATCCTTATTACTATAGCTAACTTTGACCAATACCAGTTCCTTTGTTCCTCCTCAACCTTGCCGGTTGCAAAAGAGCCTCCCCTGGACCTCATTTCAGATTCTGCTGAATTCTTATTTAGCCGTTATCTCTATCAGACCGGCTGCGTCTAATTTCTATGGCTCGTGAAAGTCGACAGGATAGAGTCAAGAATCCAATATTCATTCTTGCTTAACTCGCTGACCCCGGTCCGAACTGATCATCTAACCGCCGCGCCTTATATGGTCCGGGGCTGCTCACCTATTTTGTTCTTCAATTTTTATTCTTTTGTTGTCCTTTCAGTTTCTCTTATATTCTTTTTCCTTTCAGACGTTTGCAAGTCTCCGTCAATCTGTCGTACTGTCACGCCCCTTTCTCCCATGCTTACGCATGTGCTAGCACACCCACATAGCGGAGATGGGGATGTATTATATTAATGTGCCGAAACTTAGGAAAAGGGATGTTCGCCATAAATAACAAACGCCTATGCCAAAATTACTATGTATGCATCCTATTTATATAGATATCCGGTCTTGGAGCCATGAGGATATGGTTTAAAATAACACAATACTGTAAAAAAAAAGGAAACACTTCATGGGGGTAAATGAAAAATAGCTTGACCGGGCAGGGAAAAAAAAAAAAAAAAAAAAAAAAAATGATAGGAGTAACGGCAGGTCACGATGACATTTCCGTAGCCCATCAATAGAAAGGATGACTGGAACCACCACCACCACCAACACCCCTTGTTCTAAACGCCTCCCATATGCTACCGTCCATCATTTCCATCTTGAGTGGGACATCGTAGCAACATAAAACCTTTCCTCCGCCCACGAACCAAACATAAGGAAGAGAGGGGAAAATATATGGATATAATCCCGCACCCTACAATAACCTCCCTCTTCACCTCACCGCCTCTTCGCCCCCTTCATAATAAGTCCCCCGACCACGCCAGCCGCCAGAGCCACACCTCCCAATATCGCAACCCCAACCAACCCTTCCTTCGCAACCTTATCATCAATCAGCGTTCGCAAACTGGCCGCCTGCAGGTTCCCAGGTTCGTGGTCGAGAAGGAGATCGTTGTATCTGCGCGCCTCGCCGTAGTTGCCGAGCTTGTAGTTGCCGAGGGCGAGGTAGTAGAGACATTCGCGCCGTCGTTCGTGGGCAGATTTGAATATTTCAGAGAGGAGGCGCACGCCTTCTTGTTGTTCTTGGCGGACGTTGGATTTTATGAGGCCCTGTAGATTTTGTTTGCGGGGAGGGGGGTGATTGTTAGTCGTTTGTGTCGTTTGCGAGGGGGTTGGGCGTAAGAGATTGATTGGGAAGAGCGAATAATAATAAATAAGAGGAATGAATGTTTATATACCCAAGCATAATTGAATTTAGTCTGCACGCCGACATATTCTCCTTCCTTTTCGTATTGGGCTCTCAGGACCTGGAGCTCTGCGGGCTTCAGCGGGCTGCGGGATAGGTAAACGTGGTATCAGTTATCTCGCTTCTTTCTCTGAAACAGGCAGCGAAATTATTCTGCAAGTGGAGGTCTTCGTTTATAGAATCTCATATTGTGAGGATGTATAGGCAAAAAAGATATGGAACTGACCTCTCCGCATCCGCCGCATCTAGATTCAGATATACGTATTAGCAACATGCGGAGCGGAAAACTAGGGGATAGGCAGGTGCGGAGCAAACCATACACGGAAGATTCGAACCCATAGAGGTTTACTGATATGTGATATGAAGTTTTTTTCTGCTCTCTGTAGCAAAAGTGTATATTGACAGCAGCTCAGGATACATTAAAGAGCGGTGCAGTGGCGTGGTTCGTGTCTCAAACACAGCGGTCTGGAGTTAGATATCCGGTTTCTCTGCTCTGTTTGCGCGGGCGGAGTTTTGGAGCAAACGACAGCCGCCGACGGTAACTAGCGCCAAGTCAGTCATGTGGCAGTTACTCCCCGCAACAACGGCAGACGTCAACAAACACAGCCACATCTGACCTCATCACCATTAACTAGTTATCAATCCATCCCTTTCGCCAACCTGCGCATTTACGTATCTCTCAGAAAGACAGCGACGATTTCAACCTCTACACAGCTCATGCCGCAAAGATGCTCCTCGAAGAAGACCCCGCAACAGTACGTTCCCCTCAGCTCTCAAACCCATCCTGACCAACCCCAATAACTAACGAATGCCAAAAAAAAAAAAAAAAAAAAAACCACAGCTAATCCATCACACAATCGGCAACTTTAACATCCAACCCGACAAACTCGCCCTAACCCGCATAACCGACTCCCTCTCCTCCCTCCAACAATCGCGCGACCTGCGCACCCGCGAAGCAGAAATCTCCCTCCGCAAACTCGCCCGCAACCTCAACACCCTCAGCGCCCAGCACGCAGACAATGTCTCCTCGCACGACCCCGCCCGCCACGCTGCGTCCATAGTCGAGCTTGATACGAAGAAGTTTCGCATTGCGAAGGCGGCGTCGGAGCTAGAGATTGAGAGTGAGCGGCTGGAGGGGGAGTTGGAGATGTTGAAGGCGCGGTTGGCGGAGTTGGATGCGCAAGGTCTCGAGGGGGATGAGATAGCGAGGAGGGAGAGGGAGTTGGATGATTCGACGATGTATGTCTTGCTTTTGTTCTTCTTCTTTTTCTTTCTTTCTTTCTTTCTTTTTTTTTTTCTTCCCCCTTACTCTCTCCCGACTACCTACTCGCCTATTACCCTTGGGATAACCGGCATTGTTCTTATTTTTTTTCTTTTCTTTTGGGAATAAAAGAAACTAACCCAAATGCCAATCACCCGCTACGCTATATTTAGTCTCCGCCTCAAAATCTACCGCTCACTCGGAATCGATGTCGAGTCCGATGAAGCGGGCAACTACAACAAAGCAATTATCCGAAACAGCCGCAAGGGTGACGTCCACGTGGTTAATATCGATCCGAAATTCTCCCGGTTTTTCTATGCAAATTATTTCTGGCAGACGATGCAGGGGTGATTGATCGGCTCTTGATTTCTTTCCTTTTTTATTTCAAATGTATAACGTGCTTTCCTTCCTTGGGTGTGTTTGATGGCGTTTGGGCTATAACTCATACATAATGTTTTGGTGTTTGGGTTCTCGGTGATTACAGGCGTGGGAAATGGAGAGTGGTTGGTTATGGGTAGTATTGAATATGTTTGGCGTACGCTATCCTTGTTGATGGCCCTTCGGTGATATCTGAAATGATGAGATTCCTTATTCCTTAGCCCAACGCTTATTGCTTCATTTTATCAAAATTCAGTCGTTGAATAAAATTAAAATAAAATAAAATAAAATAAAAAATCGAATATGGTCTCGGACACCTTTTTTCCTAAGGCATCTTTGTCTATGCATTTATTATTGCCATCATAATAATGAAGGATGATTGTGATAGAGGCCTACAGTATGATTCAATGTCCTTGGAAGAGAATGATATTCGCTGGTCAATTAAGGTTTCGGGAGCTAGGGTGCGGCCCAGCCAGTTAGTTACCTATTTAGGTAGTCGCGGTCGGTTAGAAGACGCTCTACATAGAAGTTGATCCAAAATAAGAATATCATTGCGTTCACTAGTTAAAATGAAACGTTGAAATTATTCTATATAGTTGCAGACTGCTGCGATGCAGATGGGAAGCCGTTCAGATCAGGGCAGAGTAGAATCGAGGCAGGGAGGGAGAGAGGGAAGAGGAAAGAGAAAAAAAGAAAAGGAACTCTCGAAGATATCACTCAAAAGCTATTCCTCCTCATCGAACCTGTTGTCTCACTTCTAAACATCCTTATACCTGGTGGCGCATCGTCCTTTTTAAAAACTTCATTACCCCTAGGCGGCGTCACCACCATCTGTTGATCTTCCATGACCCGTACTCGAACCGCTGGAGAAATGCCAAACCTCCTCCAACGGTCGAGCGCCAGCGCCTTCTCTTCGTCTTCGGGGGCCATTCGTTTCTTCTTCTCACCTTCACCTTCACCTTGACCAGGCCCCCAGCGTAGTTTCAAATAGCGGTTAAGTGTCTGGGCAAACACGACCAGCGCAATGCTAACCCATGAGATCCACTGGCCGATTTCCTTGGGCTGTTCATTGCTGGGAAGCTTTACCATCCGATACTCGCACATGACAACGTTGACGATGAAGGCGGCGAAATGGGCAAGCATAACAAATAAGTGAAAGTTCGTAAATGCTACGGCCCAGCGAGACCATGGCTTCTGTGGTTGAGGCTGTCCGGATACGGGTAGCCAGGATAGCGATGAGGACGGTGATGATGGCAATGGCTGGATCGATACAGACACATCTTTGGATTTGTCGGTTGTAGTGTTCTGCCGACCGTGAACACATGTGCCCACCCAACGAAGACCGACTATGTCTGATGCTGAGCTGGCTGTTGCAAAGTGGATATTCGTATTTTTATTCCGCCACACTGTGCGAAATAATATCTCAACAACAATCCAGGTAAAGATATATATGATTGTTGCTGGAAGGAAGACCGACGTGATATCCCTCGGACGGTTTATATAGTTCGGCCGGGCCACGACGTCATGTTTTGGACGGAAAATCCGAGCTTCAGGCGGGCAAGCGTACAGACAGTCGGCAGTAGGACTGGGGAATAAAGAACCATCGAATGAAGCCGCATCACTGCGCGAAATGCACTCTGGGGTGATGAATCCCGCCCCATTTACATACATGCACGATGCAGTAAATATCGCACCCAACACCAAAAGCATGCCCCACATTATCACAATCCACCGCTTCCTTTTCTCCGCATATATCAATGTCGACGACCAATTCAATAACGGAGCAGTGAGCATCGCGCCCGATGAGGTTACCGCGAAAATTCCATAGATGTCCAGGTCTATGGCTTTTCGGGCGGGGCTGGCCAGCAAGAGGCCGTGGAGAGCTGCTGCTCCACTATACGACATTGCACTGGCGAGGGCGCCGAAGACCAACCATTTTTGTCGACGGCAGAGGACGGCGAATACCAAAAGCAGATAGAACAGTATTCGTTGCAGGAGGTTATATGGTCCGCTTATGGGGAAAACGCAGAGGACGTCGGGTCCATATCCACCGTATACATTGAGATCCTCCTCGCTAGCTGCGGATACGCGTGTGTTACACAGAATAACTAGGAAGAATAGGCGGGCAGAAGTCATGCTTGCTGGACATAAATATCGCATTCCGCCTGAGAACTAAACAAGGGCAAAAGAAATGCAACAAATTAACTTCTATGGGGAGAAGTTCACGAATACACTTCAAAACATCTTAATGTGTATGGAACCCCCCGTCATTATAGATAACTATGGCAGGTTTGTTCCGCAGCAATATTTGATTTGGAACAAGCCAAAGCTCTTGTGCTCTGCGAGAGGAAAATGGCGGCCAGAGATATATCATTGTGGTAGGCCGGCCTTCCAAGGTTGACCACGATCACCCGAAGAAGAAAAGAAGAAAACTTGGTGGTTTAGTCATATAACTAGTTAACTATCGGACAAGAAGAAATACGGTCTGCTGCGGAGAGCAGCCGGATTGGTTCAATGAGCTGGGTGGCTGTGGCTGAGTTGAGCGATGTTGCCGTGTTGGATACGATGCTGAAGCCAGTGAGGGGAGGGACAAGCGGTGGTTGATGGAAAGGTTAACTAAATAAACTGCGGTTTTCATTCCTCAAATCCTATCGCTTGGATTCTTGCCAATTGTTGATCAAGACGGTGGTTAACTTATTATTAGTTCTTCTATTCGTGAAGCTCAAATAATCCAGGCTGGGGAACGATATAGAATCATCCAACCAACGAAAGACACCAATACAATACTCTATAGAGAACCTCATCTTTGGCACTCCCTTGCAGACGACGGTTGAAGAACCTTTATTTATCTTCTTTTTGAGGGATTTATGTTTTCATACCAAGTTTGAAACAATAATAAACAATGCAGCCAGAACGGCAACGCCGAATCAACATACGGGGCTTAGCAACCCTGATTGGCGAAGGAAGAGCAGGAATTGCGATCCGCCAGTAGGAGGAACCCATCAGGAAGAAATTCGGTTTCTTCTGTGCCTCTGTCCATACTATTATCGGCTATGGGGGAACTGGCTAAAGCTTTAACAAAACTCGCAGTATATGTCCTATATTTAGATCGGAACTTCAAGCTCAACGAAAGCAGATCTTATACATGCATTATTACTACTGCATCATGGTACATTGTACTGTTACATGGACGGGAGGTCTTGAAGGCGGGAACCTCTGCCAACTTACGGCATAGTTAAACAAATAGTATGGCTTAATTCGGCCTCCGAAATACTTACCTTTGTGTGGGGGGAAGTCAATCAGGGATATGTGTGCCTAAGTCCCACGAGAAGAGATTTTATTTCCCTTGGCGTAAGAGCCGAAAATGCTCGTCGGCGTCCATTCTCTGTCTCGTTCTCTTGCTACAAGAAGCGCATTCCGAAAGTGGCGGATAGCGGAATGAGATGCTACCGAGAGGATGAAAAACCTAGGAGAGGAGGATCCGTCCCGGCCTGCATCTAAATTTCCCTAAGTCTCTCAAGTATTAATGAAAGGAAAAAAGGGATTACTTGAGGCAGGCAGCAGAGATAGATGGAGGCTAGATTGTCAAAGGATGCCTAGACATAAATAAATAAATAGAGACTGTCAGCTATCGACCTGAGTTGGTAAACGAAATCAACAGCCCTGTTTACTCCAAAACAACGTTCAACGAAGAGTAGAGTCGGATTCAGGAGCACGAGATACCATACAGAACCATCCACCTCAATATCCTGACACGCTACTCACCGGCAACAATGGCCGTAATCACGATCGATATAATTTCAGATGTGATATGTCCCTGGGTGAGTGAAAAACCCCTTACAACAAAAGTTACTATAGTGCCTACTGAATAACCAAACAATTTTTGTTTAGTGCTTCATCGGCTACCGCGACCTCCAAAAAGCCATCTCCCTCTACCAAAAAACTTACCCGGGAGGCTCGAAGGATGAATTCCAACTATCATGGAAACCCTACTTCATAGACCAAGAACCACCCAAGGAGAGCGTGCTTATACAAGGTAGAGATGCTCCAATATAGCCCACATTCCTTTCCATCACATTTCTCCCTTGAAAATACCTATACCCAATACTTAACTACGGAAAACAAAAAAAAAAAAAACAAAAAAAAAAAAAAAAAAAAAAAAAAAAAAAAAAAAAAAACACAAATCCAGACCGCATGCTCCGCAAAATGGGCCCCCAAATGACCGAGGCAGCCCAAACCCGCCTAAAACGCGTCGGGGCAGCGCTGGGTATCAATTTCAAGTTTGGCGGGTCCATGGGCAGCTCGCGGCTTGCGCATGTACTCCTGCACACCACCGCGGCGGAAAAGGGGCTGGTGATGCAGAGTAAAGTTTCGGAGATGTTGTTTCAGTATCAGTTTGAGAGGGAGGAGGATGTTAGTTGTGTCGATACGCTTGTGAGGGCTGCGGTGGAAGTAGGGTTAGGGGAGGGGGAGGTTAGGGAGTGGTTGGCGGGGGAGGGAGCGGGGAGGGGGGTGGTGGAGGTTATTGAGGAGGAGGGGAGGAGGGTTAGGGAGGAAGGGGTGAAGGGGGTGCCGCATTTTGTTATTGGGGGGAGTTATCATGTTGATGGAGCGGTAGATGTTGGGGAATTTTTCGAGAAGGTGGTGGAGGTTAGGGAGGGGAGAGGAGGAGAGGGTGGTGGATCGGGGACAGCGGGTGGTGGATCGGGGACAGCGGGTGGTACTTGTAGCTCGTCGAGGGAGGGAGGGGGGATGGATACATGTTGAAGAATATCTATCTCTGTGTGTTTTGAAGGGTTGTGTAACACCATGCAAGAGCGGAACTTTCTACGAAGAATCATGATAGATGAACAGAACACTGTCTCTTACATGCAGAAGCAAACTTCCTCTGCTATTTCGAAAATGCATCAAATACCGTCTTCAGAACAGGATATATATAAACTAAACCCTCCTCACTTCTCACCTCCGTCCAGACGTACCGCATTCAGTCATTCGACACATCCGTAATCCCCAGCTCAGCATACGCCTCCCCTCTTCCGACCCTCTCCACCAACGCCTTGAACGCATTCCCAGCCCACCTAAAGTCCTCCAGATCCAGGTAAGTCTGCGCACTCAGTCGTGTCCACAACCAGCCACCATGCGGGAATGTCGGCGCGGCAGAGTTATACTCATAAATAAACTTCTCGTGTATCCATTTAGCAACAGCCATTGCATCTCTGCCCTTGATAATGGGATACGGAGATTCCTTCTCGACATGTCGGCCACTCCCATCATCAACCGCGAGGGGTAAACGGACGTTGGCGAATGCACATTGGCGGATCTTACTGGCGCCTACCACCTTGGGATCGACGCCAGGTTCGCTCATGACGTCTGTGCCGAGTATCTCAGCCACGAGATTGCCGCCCTCGTGCGCCAATTGCTGACAATACGACATAATCTTTTCCTCACCGCCGCAGACCTCTTCGCGGAATTTAACAGCGGCGGGGATACAGTTGTATGGCGAATCATCGTTCGTGGCCACAAACTCAAACTGGAACTCAAAGGCGGATTTGCCGGCTACTCTTGGGATTGGGAGATCTACCTCCATGTTGACGGGGACGAAACCATGCGAGGTGGGGAGCGTTGTGCGAATTAGGTGCTGGTTGCGGATAGGGACATGGAAGACTGCGCAACCGCGGGGGACGTAGAGCCATCTAAAAGAAGTGTTAGAGGTGTGTTGTATAGGGCAATGGGAGAATAGATTTTGGTGAGATTATATCCACTCAAAGAAAACAAACATCCATGCGTGTTGGAATCGGAGGGAAGGTGGTACATACTTATGACAGTTGCTCACAAAAAAGTCAGGCTGCAACGCTCCCAAATCAAGAGGAATTTGGCCAATTCCATGTGCGCCATCCACGCAGCTCATAATACCTTCCTTCCTGCACTCCGCTATGAGGTCCTCGAATGGGAATCGCACGCCCGGGTTGCTAACGATAGTATCGAACAGGGCAACGCGAACATTCAACCCTTCACTCCTCGCCTTCTTAACCACCTCGATAAAACCCTTCATAATCTCCTCGTGGGTAGTGGGAAATGAATAGGTGACCTTGCGCCCTTGCACAGGCGTAGTTTCCATCAACGATGAAATAGTCTTCTCGCATGCAGCGTATGTAGTGGCAAAGTAAACAATGACGTCCCCCGGTGCGTATACCAGGTTCCGAAGGGCGATATTCACTCCCGTCGTGGCATTTTTGGTGAAAACGACTTCGTTCATGGGGACGTTGAGAAGCCTTGCCACCTCCTTTCTAGCCGCATCGACGTATTTCGGTTGCAGGTAACGGATGAACAAGTCCGGCTTGGATTCAAGCTCGTCTTGGAATTTCCGGGCCTCAGCCTGGACTACCGCGGGAAAACTTCCATATGATCCTGTTGGGATTTTTTTGGTTAGTCAACGGCTATCTACTATATGGACTCTCAGCGATATCAAAATGCTAACGTGACGGATGACGGATTGATTGGCACAGGCAGCGCGCAGTTCCGGATAACACACGACTGAGGTACAGGTATCGCTATTAACTTACCGTGGTTCAAATTCTTATATTTTGGATCGAAGAGGAAATGTTTGAGCATCGGAGGCCCAAAGGGGGTTAATTTGTCAGAGGCCATGGTTGATCCGATGTCGAAATCTCCGTCTTCCTAAAGATATATGTATACCTCTGTAGATATAGGTTTATCTGATCAATGTTCCTTCACGTACACAGTGGCTCCCAGACCGAGCGAAAGTGTTAGCCATGTCCTTCAAGATAAACCATTTAAAACCATACAGATTGATGCCCATACCTGGCGCGAGTGAGAAGTCTTTTCACCAAACAAGGACACGTATGATACGGTGTTTGCTTCCTCGCCTTCTGATTAATCATACTCAACAAGATAGGCTCAATTGACCCTTTTTGTTTTTTTTTTTTTTTTTATAAAAAAAAAAAAGGAAGATACTCGTTCCCCAAAACCCTCCTCTCTAATGAATTGACGTTTATTATATATTTCCCGCAACAGCAATGACACACTCAAAAAGGCCCCAAACCCCCCACCACGCGCCCTGTGACTCCGTGACTCCGTGACAATTTAGACTGACAGACTCCCGAGCACCAAAACTCTACTCGGGGAATTGATTCCTAGCGACGATGATGCTCCTTGGCGGGGTGCCGTACCACCGCTACCTGTCACGATATTGCAGGTCTAGGCTAGGCTAGTTTTTACGCCGAGCACGGGGCTTACTATGCGTAGTGGGCGAATTAGGGTTGGATAAAAAAAGACCTTTCAACCTTGTTGCATCGGAGGACGGGTATAGACGGACATTCTCTTGAAGTTGTGCAGTTGGGGGAAATTCTGAGTTTTGCCAGACCCCAGATGTTTTTTGGCGGTGCCTTTGTATAACCTTAAACCTTAAATCTGGCCGGGTTTCTGGACCTGGATGAATGTCTCAAGACGGACGTCATGCCGAGTTTAGGTTTCGCGCGCATACTAACTTGTAGTGATGTATGTAGGAAGAGAGATATTGCGTGATACCTACCGACATTTGGTGAGCACGGTATTATTGCAATGGTAGAGATGTTGTTATGTCAATTTCAGCTTCTAACATTACTAGATGTGCTGGTTAGTCCTCTATACTGTGAGATTGAAAATATTTTTCTAATACATGCAACGTTAATTCCTTACAGCTCATTGGTTTCTTATGGATGTAACGAACACCTGCTAAATAAAAACCACTGTTAGAAAAACCCATCATACTCAAGAAGCATTCATCAATACCTCGTAACTCTGCTTAAAAATCAAAACAAAGCGACATCCCCCGGAGAGCGCGCGAGGGATTCGATTGCGAGAGCGCCTAGAGAAGGAACTTTAGGTAATAGGAACAGCAACTGTTAAAAAAGAAAAAGAACTATCTCACACAACGCCGTGAGGTGTTGTTGCTTGTGGCTGCAGATAACCCTCGTGTGTTACCTACCGCGCAAGGGAGGAGGAACATGAGCAAGGCGAATAGTTTGGATAAAGAAGTGTACGGGAACAGAGTGATTACAAAAGAGAGACATAGTAGCGTGAAGACATTTCAAAACTTCGAAGGAACTCGAAAGGTAAGGAAGACGGTACAGGGGAGTTTAGAGTACTCTGATAGTGGGTGGTGTTGTGAAAAAGAAAAGGGGGAGAAAGGGAGATACATTTAAGGAACCGTTTTGATCGTAACAACCTAGCTGGGAAGTGTATCGGGTTTATTAGTTGTCGCTAGCTGACCGGCGATGAGAATTATCGCAAAAGTTAAGAAGCTTAAAAAAAAAAATAGAGAAGCTTAAGTATGAGGCTGCAAGGGGAGGAGAGGGCTATAATGCGGATACAGTACGCAAGAGGAACGCTCAGAAAGAACCACTGCACCTAACAAACACACGCAAACACACATCCTCCCCCCCTCCCCCCCTCCCCTCTCCGCTACCCTAAAAGACTCTTGCAAACAAAGCCCAAGCAACTTCCCTTCCAGTTGCTTTATGCATGGCAACACGTTCCCCATCCTATCGTATCCTGTCGTTATCCTATCAATTTCACACCACAACACAAACCCGCTCACATCTTAATAAGTAAAACATCTTAATAAGTAAAAACGCTGTAGCAAACACAAGACACAAACCAAATCTACCGCTTCCCTTTCTTCTTCGCCGCCACAACCTTAAACGGCGCATTACTCGTGTCCTCGCGATGGGCAGCAGATTGGCTTCCCTTCTTCGCAACTTCGTTCCAGCCGTCAGAGCCATTGGAGTCTGGCACGGTGCCGAACCCATTGCTGCCGGCATTCAGGGATGCGGGGTCGACGACACCCTTATCAGCCAGTTTGCGGCGACGGACGAATTCTTCGGCGAAGCGGCGACCGTCGAGCGTTTGTGAGTTAGCGTAGACTGAGTCGGAGATAATTTCTGTCTCAGGGGGGAGGAGAAGGAGTTGTTGGACGAAATCGTCGACTGGAGAGTTTGAATTTTCTGTTAGTCTGCTTATGGGATATATTTTCGGCGAACAATAAGGTTCTAGTGTGAAAAGGGCAGGAAATATAGACGTACCATTGATAGAGCTATTCAGCCCCTTGCCCAAGGCATTCTTAGCCCATTTCATAAGCTCCTCAACTGGCTTATTTGTATTGGTAACCTGAGCCGAACCCAGCGTGGATGGTCTTGTGAGGACGGTTGGTCTCGGTTTTGCTGCCGCCGCGGGGGCCACAGGAATGGTTCTTAGCCCAGCCGGTGCGGTAGGTGGAGGTTTTGCCTTTCCACCAGCTCCAACTGTTGTCCAAGCTCCTGCGGGCGCTGTTGGTGATGCAACCTTGCTTGCAAGATCGGCATAGCGCTTACCCGCAGAAGCGACTGGTGAGCTTACAGCAGCAGCAGCCTGAGGATTGTTTACTACAGTCAGACGCTGTTTGCGAGCCTCCTCCTCCTTCTGGATTTGGGCTAGCGTCTTCTTGGGCGCAGAAACGGTTGCACTAGGTTGTGGTTTTCCGCCTCCAGGCTGCTTCGCCCATACCGAACCAGCGGCGGATGGAGGTGTGGCGGGAGACCCACTACTCGCCCAGTTCGCAGTTGATGGTAGCCCTGGAGCTGGAGCCGGGGGTTGATTTGCACGTTCCTGTTCTGCAAGTGCACGTCTGGCAGCAGCTGCAGCCTCCTCCAGTTTAGCGGCTTTGCGAGCTTCGGCTTCTTGGATTTCCTTCAAAGAAGGTCCTCTTGGTGCCTCGATGGTTTCCTTTGCCCACGGAGC